CGAGCGCCTCCCCGCCCCCCTGCCCCCGCCCCTCCGCCGCCGCGCGCAGCGCTGCGGCCACGACGGGGGGCGCCGGGCCGTCGGCCTCCGCGTCAGCGGGCAGCTCCTTCACCATGAAGCTGCGTACCTTGGCCCCCACCCACTTGCGCCACCCCGGGTCCCGCCCCACTGGCCGCCACCCCGCCGAGCTGTACAGCCGCACCGCCGGCTCGTTGTCCGTGAAGACGTGCAGCGCGATGTGCCGCTGGCCCCACAGCGCCGCTTGCCACTGCGCCGCGCGCAGCATCGCCCGCGCGGCGCCGGCGCGGCGCGCGGGCGGCGCGACCGCCATGCTGCTGAGGTACACGCACGCGGCGCCCGCCCCGTCGCCTTCCGCCGCCCATCGCCCGGCGTCGCCCCCCAGGACCCCTGCTTGCCGCAGCTCCCGGACGTTCTCGCCAGTTTCCTGCAGCCCCAGCTCCACGATACCCAATACCACCGACGCGCCGCCGGCGCCGGCGCCACTGTCCTTGTTCACGTCCCTATCGCCCTCGACTTGCCGCTGCACCCACCCTTCCCGTCGTATTTCGCTGCTGACGCTACCGTCACCAACGCCGTCGCCGCTGCCGCTTATCCTGCTGCTACCGCTGCTGCTGCTGCTCTCGCTGCTGCTCTCGCTGCTGCTGCTGGCGCCGCTGGCGTCCTCCACCACCAGCATCGCGTACGTCTCAGGGTCGACGCACTTTGCCTTGGACTTGAGCCCGTCCACAACCTCGGCCTTGAAAACAGTGAAGGCCAGAGAGTCGAGGGGCGCCCATGGCAGCCGGTCATGGAAGCAGCGAGCCTGTGGGGGGCGCGCGGTGGGTTGCAAGCGGGCGTCGACCAGGGCTTCGAATTCAATGTTGCATTCATGTTGATTCACGCACAGGTTTTGCTGCATGGGAGCGCGACTGAGAAAGCCCATGCAAGCCGGCGAGGGTGGGGTGGAAGCAACGGGGGTGGATGCGGGGGGGGGGGGGAGAAACAGGCTTC